CACCTGTCCCCTCGCACCGTGGCACGAAAACTTCACCGTGTTCCTCATACCACGTCACAATACAGACTTAAAACTAAAAATGTGTAAACTTTGTTACTTTATATACATCTGACCTACATGGAACCCGCTACACTAATATTCACCCCGTGCAGATCCAGTGGTGATAATGCTGGTGATTCATCCTGGAGGAAACCAGTGCTTATTAGGCAGGAAAAAAACATTTCCACCCGGAATATTCTCGTGCCTTGCTGGATTCATCGAGCCAGGTGTGCTGACCCCCACCCCAGCTATGACTAATTTCACACTGGTCCCTCTGTGCTGGGGAGTGACCCCATGTGTGGTTTGTCGAAGCAGGGGAGGGGATAGAGGATGCGGTGAGGAGGGAGGTGGAGGAGGAGAGTGGGATCAAAGTGGGCCCGGTCCGGTACATATCCTCCCAGCCCTGGCCCATGCCATCCTCATTGATGATTGGATGCCTAGCAGTTGCCGTGTCGACAGAGATTAAAGTGGATGGAAATGAAATCGAAGAGGCTCGTTGGTTCACCAGACAGCAGGTGAGCAACGTGAGGAGCTGGGGATACGGTTTGGCACATTGACAGAATTGACTTATGAGTTTTTCTGACTTGCAGGTCATCGATGTTCTTCGGAGAGGAAGCGAGCCGGCGTTCGTCTTGCCGCCGAGACAAGCGATCGCGCATCAGCTGGTGAAACACTGGATCGGCATGAATGCAAATCTGTAGGCACAGCGAGGACCCGCCGCATGTGGGAGCGGACCAGACAGGCGACGAATAGATGGGCCACTTCGTGTTCTTCCACTCCCTTCTTATAGAAGGTCCATCTAGACACCAAGCAGCACCAGTAGATCTTCGTTTGCATTCACATCCCCCTCTTTTGTTGGTGATTTCCTTTTATGGTGGTTTGCATTGGCCTGCATGACCTGGCAGCATCACTGGGGGTAATGCAGTGCCACAAGCAATGTGTCCGTTCTCTCCATAATTTTCTATTTTACATTGTTGAGAGCTGCAGTATTTTTAGTAAGAATATACAAGCAGCTGCAGACAGCTGATCCGGTTAGGATTTAGTCATGGTGACGGGCTCACCTTATGTTAACATGAGTGTGCTGATTCTGATAAAGGGACCTTTACCAGGAGCAGAACTTCAGGGAGGATATATTGAGGGTGGTGTGTTGGTCTGCAGATTAAGACTGTGCCCATGAGGTCACATTCAAGGCGAGCAGAATGATGTCACCGTCGGCGGCTCCAGGGATTGGCTTACCCTGCTCTCTGATCTGCACTTATATGTCACTTTTGGCAACAGCATTTGTTAAAGAAATCAATATGTGTCGTAAGATCCAAAGTCTGTATATTTAAAATAGGAAATAAAATATTATTACATCATTTGGTGTTTATGTATTCCAGTCAAACTGTCACACTAACCCTCAAGATATGAAACTTAAGAATGACTGCAGTCAAAACAGGAATTAAAGTCTGGCTGTTGGATTCATTCCATATTTTACTGATGAACTTAGGCAAGGGTGTGTTTAAGCTGTAATCTATTTACTGTCATCAAATATGGCAGAAAGTCACCGATTTCTTTACCAAATATTTAATATGACTAAGAAATTGTTTTTCATGTTCTTAATAAAGTATGAGGATCAGATCAGTGTTGTCTATCAGATCCTGCACAGTATGGATATTAGTTATGAGAAATCAGGAATGTGTGCTCCATGTCGCAGAGCTTTATGTATTTTAAGCAGATTAAAGCCTCATATGAATCTGGCTCTGACTGACAGAAGCCTCTTCAGGTAGGAGCCAGCAAGCCTGAGCAAACAAGGCTTGACGTTGTTGATCATTTAGCTTTTTTCTGATCCTGAGGGACTCCTCAAGAGGTGACCTCCATGGAGTGGAATGACCCTGAAGACGTTTGAGTGTCTGAGTATCGGCATGTTTGTAGACTGGGTCCTGTGAACAGGAGCACGGCTTTTCACTCTAGCTGGGAATGCGGAGGCTAACCAAGTTCCAAGTAAAAGTGTCGTATCCGGCATTCGTGTAATCAGCATCCTCAAGGAACCGACAAAGTTCTAAAATGTAAGTATAAATAATAACAATAACATTGTTCTGTTAAAAGTTGGCCAATACATACACTGCTCACAAAATGTATTGGGATGTTTGCTCAATTCAGTAAAAATGGTGCAAATGTATTGGTTTCATAACAGAAGTCCATTGACAACTCCTTTGACTGACTCGTACAGTTCTTGTAATTTTGCTGTGATTTGAAATTGTAGTCCTTGGCTCCTAAAGGGATATTTTATGTTATTGCAAAGGTGTTACTAATTTAAAAGCACCCAATGAAACTCCATGTTAATGAACTTAACTCAGAACAGCTCTTTTAGAACTATAATTTGGATTTCAGTTTATTACTACTTGAAATGAATGTTTTACTTAAATGTACTGGTTGCTGTATATATTTTTGTAAACGAATGAATAACGTAAAGATTTTTCTTATGAAGCCAGTAAATGTGCCATATGTTTACTGAATTAAGCACTTGCATGTAGGTTCCGTACATCTACAGAGCAACACTATCCAGTAGCCTTTCCACTTGTTCTGCTGCCGTTTACCTCGCTATATCGTGTTCTGCCGAATATCTGACTTAAAATAACAGTGCAATAGCCATTAGTGTGTGTGCATGTGTATAATAGGATTGTTAGTAAGTGTAAGAAATGTATTGCGATTGTTTTTCAAAAGTAACATTCAACTGTCTAAAAAGTTCAGCTATCCGACAGCTGGATGTACATGGGAATTGGCATTTTACCGTCCTCAGTAAGAGAATAATTCAAGAGCAAACAGAAAGCAGTTAGCATTTTGGGCACGGTCACGATTAGTTACATCAGAATAGTGCGCTAATGGCTCATCTAATGGTGCATTTTTATTTACTCAGACTCATGTGGTAGCATAGATGGACTATGAGCCATTAAATATGACTCATATTAATTTCCATTCGGAGTTGTCCCAGATATTACATCGACCTGCAGATGCCTGGAATGCTTAGCCTGTCTATATCGGGAAGCACTAACAGACGAGCAGCACTGGTGCTTCTCTTACCCCACCGGTCCCGCCCAGGGTCAGAGCTTCTGTAGTTCTCTGTTAGCTGGATCCTTGGCACTCATTCAGGCTGAAGAGGTCCATGGAGAGGGAGCGCAGTGATTACCTCGACTGGAGATGGTCTAAGGTAGCCTTCCCATAAGCAGGACATCCACCTAGGGAACCTTGGATGGTCCTGGTAAGTTTGCGTGACCAGATAATCCATGTCAGGGAGGACAATTTGAGCTGGGACAGGATTTATAAACTACCATTTCAATAAAAAGAACCTGGATTTCACTAAAGCACTGAGTTCCAGCTGTGTGCTGATTGGTCTCCTATAATCAAGTATGTATCACCAATGTTAATGTGAAACAGCTGGATGAGTCTTTCAGTCAAGGAAACAAACCAGTAAAAGTACAAGACAAACCAAACGATTTAGCCGAGCATGTGAGCCTTTCAGTTTTACAGTAGTTAGTAAAACCTGAAGTAGCTCAGAGTGTCTCCCTGACATGGATTACCTGGCCACCGTAGGTAAGTCACAGCGTGTGGCTGACAGACCCAGCCTGCTCCATCCAAGGCCACATCTGTAGATAGCAGGTTGGAAACATCCCCAGCCAACCCCCCACCAATGTCAGTCTTCAGCTACACGAATGTCAAGCACACATGAGCAGCAGAGAAAATGCACTGGGTATGATTCAGCCGGACGTCAGGCTGAGGAACCCGGACGTCAGGCTGAGGAACCCGGACGTCAGGCTGAGGAACACGGTCAGCTCTGTGTTCCTTTACGGAGCCCTGGGCGCCTGATCTTAAATGTGAGCATGACCTGGTGACCTTGATACAGTAAATCATACTATAGTAATGTACACAGCAAGCTTATCAAATTCACAGATTGGTGTCACAGGACTGAAGGAATATCAAAGTTAACCGTAAAATCAATAGTAAGAATAAAATAGGATTTAAATATATCTGAATGACGAAGAGGTCGTCTGCAATGGCAGTGCCATAGAAATGGAGATCTGAGGTCTTTTTAGCAAAACCAGACACATCAGTTCTGAGTGCAGGTCCGGCGCAGCCAGTGGTGGAGGAAGTACTGAAGCTCAGTACTTAAGTAAAAGTACAAATACTTTGTTACATTCCACCACGGCGCAGCACTGTCTCTGTCAGAGAGATACTGCTTGCTGCACAGTAATATTTTGCATACCTCTCTGCTGAGGATGAATGAATCAGAACTGCTGGGACTTAGTCACAGCTTCATGAATAATCCTGAAAGCGCACTGTGGCTGCACCAGAACAGGATGCTCCAATGGGATTTTCCATGTTCTGCTCATTTCTGCGTTGAGAAGTAGTTCCCCGGCTATTCATTATTTTATTTTTATGCTCAGAGAAGCTCTTCCTGAAGTATTAAGTGCACCTCAGATTTACACCAATGCCGTTTCATCCCAGTGATGGATAATTCAGAGAACACAGGGACCCAGAACACTTGCTGTTTTCATAAACGGAATTTACTCACCCCTCCTTGTCATCAGCCCTTGGAAATGAACCCTCTGCCATCCGGGGTGCAGCTCAAGCCCGGCTATGCTGCAAATGAACGTTTCTCCTGGTTCAGGACGCCAGTGGCCAAACACGGGGCAAAAGAGGGGGCAGTAAGTGTGGAAACATGGAGCGCCAGGGCATTAATCCAAGAGCAGCTGCATCTCCACATACAAATACAGCTTAGAAAGGGCAGCATCCCCATACAAACTCAAAGGGTAGTGTGATCTTTTTCTGTTCAATGCACAGTGACTAACGTGTAGGGAGATGAATGTCGGTCCAAGTAAATGGCAGTAAGCGAAATGAGTCAGCGATTTAAAAATCTGTATAATACTTCAGCAATTTCAGTCATCCATGCAGTAAACAAAAAAAAATCTCATCAGACTTAGTTTTATTTGCATGGCTTTATTCTATCCATTGCTAAAAGTGTTACATTGTGATAAATTAACAAAGCACAATATTTAAGAGCTGGAAAAATTCTACAGTGATGCTCATTTTCTGAGAACAGAGAACTTTATTAAAACGTGAGAGGAAGACGAAGTCATTACAATGTTTAAATCACTATCAAGTAGTTTAAGCAAGTAAATAACTATAAATAATTTTGAACATAATTTCAGAAATCTAGTTTTAAGATTAAAAAGTCAAGTAAAACCTAACGTTCCCCAGCTGGTGACTGAACAGTAAACAAAAATCCAAATAGCCGGTCAATATAACAATAAAAAAACAGACAAATGATATGTACATATTATTCCAACATCATCAAGATCTCTTTCTAATTTGTACTTTTTCTTAGTTTTGCATATATGGTAACATATCTTATAAAGAAATAGTAGACACTGAAAATGATTTCCTGCCACCCTGACCAGCATAAAAACAGTATCTGACTTGCTGCCCACTCCTCGTCTGCCACACCATCCCATCGTACACTCATCATGCGTCTGTTTTTTGGCAGAACGTGTCCCAGAGATATGCCGTGTTGTTTTCTATGTAGTCGGGGTCTTTTTCCGTGGCCTCAGTGATGAGAGGAGACTCCGGCGACATGACCTGAATGCTGAAGTTCTCAGCAGGAAGCTCCATAGTGGAGAAAAGCTCCAGGTTCAGCAGTTTTGGGGTGATCTACGAGGAGGTAGGGACATAGCCCTTCAGTAGAGTGGCCAGAACATCACATGTAAAAATCATCACAAAAAACAGCTGCAATACCCTCCTTGGACAGTAACTTAGACTACTTCATTGACATACGTTTACAATTCATTTAGTAGACACTTTTGCCAAATGTATTGTAAAAGGGATACATACTGTGCATGCTTCTGTACACACTCACATACTGTATATCCAAAATCTATCCGTTCATACTACTTTAAAGAATTATTTTCTCCAGAAGCTCTGAATGACCCAGCAACATTCTGATAACTGGTCCTTAAAAGCTATACCACCCCATGTCTGTCTATTAATGAGGCATTTCTGTCAATTGCATTTTTTTAAACTATGAATTGTTGAGCCCAAGCAAAACAATATTTCAACTACGTTATCACATTTTGTAGCAGCTGTTGGTTGTGAACAGTAAAGCAGCCTGGCGAGAGTAATGCGGGAAATGAGAAGAGGAAACGGGAGGAGAACACAACACCTCATGCGCAGACAGTGACCCCCACTGTCTGATAGAACTGCAGGAAGGGTTTGGGATCGGTGGAAAGAGGTGTCTCGTGTTCCTGTGGGTGACAGTGACAGCTGGGTTATGTTGCATCTGAGCCATTTCCATCTCAGCTGCCCCTCATCTCCAGGCAAAGCGACACAAAATTCACATGGTTTATGTAGCAGGTACTCAGCAAAATCACTCTGCTGAGCCTGGGATTTGAGCCGGTGACCATCTCATCAAAGTCACAGCATCCTAACCTGCTGAAGCACGCATGACCCCCACCTCAGTCTGATGGAAAACAATTTACCTCCATTATCAGCAAGGGCCATTAAACCTATCTATCCATCCACACTACCTTTACTGATTACATAAGTGTTCATCCGATGTGGGATCATAGTGCCTGACACTTATCCCAGGCAAGCTGTGGACACACTGGATGGGACACACACACAGTCCATGTATTGAAAATTTTAAGGGAACTCTTCAGTAATTACTAGGGGCATATAGTCTCCACAATGTAATGATTACAAACACGCACACACACACATACACGTATGTATTCATATCTTTGTGGGGACTGTCCATTCCTTTCCACGGGAAAGAACCCAAATTTCAACAGCGACAACCTTAACCATAAATCAAAATAACAGGTTTTCATTTGTTTGGTTTATAAGCAACCAAACAAAATGCAAGACTTTTGACATTTTTAGTTATTTGATAGCAGTTGAGTTTCCCCTTATGGGAATGAAAAAAATGGTGCCCAAAACGTCAAGATAACTGGTTTTTTTATGTTGTGGGGAACTTGGTTCACACAATGTAATATTTACATGACCCACAGTGAAACTGTAGATAATCTATATCTGAACAACATAGTTTGTGTTTAATTGTTTCGGCCTATCTGGGTGTTAGACAGACAGCCCAAGCTGTCCCCTAAAGAATATGACTGGGTCACTTATAATGAAGGTGAATACAGGCATTATATGGGCATTCCGCCTATGTGCAGCTGACAGGTACAGCACTCATAATGAAGGTGAATACAGGCATTATATGGGCATTCCGCCTATGTGCAGCTGGCAGGTACAGCACTCATAATGAAGGTGAATACAGGCATTATATGGGCATTCCGCATATGTGCAGCTGGCAGGTACAGCACTCATAATGAAGGTGAATACAGGCATTATATGGGCATTCCGCCTATGTGC